CCACCACCACCACCACACACTCACATACACACATCCTGCTCTCAGCTCTAATATTTTTCACTTACCTGGACGAACACATACTCATCTTGCACCACCAGAGAATTGGGGTCAATGTATCCGGGGAATGGTTTGCCCTTGTTGGAATCTGTGCAGTTCTGTAGCTTGCAGGTGACATACAGCGCCTCTGCTCCCACACACACACACACACACACACACACACACACACACACACACACACACACACACACACACACACACACACACACACACAAAAGACATGTGTCAGGCAATGGTTTCAGCCAATGAAAAAAGGCAGCCTTCACCCACAGCTAAGTGCTCTCTTCTGGCCTCTTGCATTACTCAGTGAAGTGTTCTGGGTAAAAGAGGAGCAGGGCGGAGGGGAAGACAGATGACCACGGAGGCCAATTGCTTTCCTTCCCTTCAATCAAGGCGCTAGCTGGGGAGCCTGTCCCTGCACGCTAACCAAGCCAAATATGTGTCGGCTCCTTCTGTACGAGCATGATCAATAGTGATATTCTCTGGCTGTGCGACTGTAACATCTGACACAGCTGACATTTACTCAGAGGGTTGGTTTGATTGGACCTTTTCTTCATTGCACTAACTTTAAAAAAAAGTTGTCATTGAAAAACTTGGCAAGTTGTTTCAATGAAAAAGGGACTTTGAACGCAGYGTCGCTTCTATCCTCCAAACCTAAACAAAGCAGATACAAAACAATAATTGATTTGTTTTGGACAAACTAACTCGGCAGTGCTTTGACTGAACTCTGGTTGTAGTCTGGACAAAAGACAGTCAAACCTACAGAACTTCATTTGATTTCATTTTGTCCCTCTGAACTGAGCAGCTGTTTGCRTAGACATGGATTTCTTCTTCATCTGGGTTTGACAGAACATCTTTTTAAAACTCCTTTTTTATTTCAACCTTTGCATCTTATACAGTAAAACACTCAAACACAAAAACAAATGTCCTACAAGTGCATTCAGTCTGAAAAAATGTGAAACAGCTTTATACTGTATAACGGCTGAATTAATATAAGTGAGAAAACAAATCAGAACAAAATCTTCAAGGTTCACTGCAGAATAAAGAAATGAGTGGTACGAAATGTGCACTCTTAAAAGAACCATTGAATAAAAATGTCAATGTCAAATTTATTTATGCACATAAAACAACAAAGWWGACCAAAGTGCTTCACAGTTCAGTCAAGACTTGTATCAAAAAACAGACAAATAATAGATACAAATGCATTACGGAAACACACTATTTTCAAAAATAGTTGAAAACAAATCCGATGAGGAGAGGAGAGATTTTTACTTTAGTGCTACAAATTAAATCACATACAAGTGAGACTASTTGTTGACTCAAACCTGTGAGAAAAAAAAAACGAGTTTTATTTAGAATTCTGTGTGTTGGATGAGTCTTCTTTTTAGCTTTATCCTGGGATGTTTCCTGTTCTGGTAAAGTGTCCAAATCCAGCTCTGGTACTTCAGAATTATAAAACCTGATTGTTGAACATTTTCTAAATTCAAGCAACAAAACTGTGTGAGTCTGGAACTCACACACGTCTTCACTGTGAACCCTTTAGAGGCTTTAGTCTACAACAGTCCCAGCCCAGTGAGAAACTGACTGAATACTTTTGTTAGACCTTCAGACTGGTTCTGAGTCAGCCATGGTCCAGCAGAACATAGACGAGATGATACAACTTGAAAATGTAGAAGTAGTAACAGTAGTAAGTGTTTCTGTCGTGATCTGGGGTTCTGTGGTTRTACTGTGGAGGACTCCTGTCACCTGGATAACTGATGTCTCTGTGTGCTGCAGTATGAGGGACAAAAGTAAGACTATTGTGCATCCAGCAGTGGCTACATCCTTGTAGCAGGAGGCTATCTATTCCTAAACCAGTTATTTATCTGATTAATGATAGGCCGGCACCGCTAACTGAGAGGCTGGTGCTGGTCAATGAGAAGGAGACTATTCATTTGTGTTAGCATCAGAGAGGCTAGTAACGAGAGGCTAGCAACTAGCATGGATAAGCAGGTGTTAGCATCAGAGAGGCTAGTAACTAGCATGATAAGCTGGCGTTAGCATCGGAGAGGCTAGCAACTAGCATGGATAAACTGGCTTTAGCATTGGAGAAGCTAATGAAATGTCTCCTCCTCTTTTGTCAGTGCCGTCCTCTCAGTTAGAGGTGCCGGCCTCTCATTGGCCCTCACACCTCGCCAAATCTCTGTCCCACTTCAACAATGGATAAGTCTTACTATATGGGTCACCCTGCCAGCCAAATCTGACTCTAGTCACCCATCAAACATGCCTTGATGCATCCCTGGCGGCCTCTGGTTTCACCCTAAAGAGTAAGAGCCCAGGACCTTCAGCTTGTTTTGAGTCCACAGACRCCGCCAACACTGAACCAGGTCACAAACGCTCAGACTGTCCCCCGGAGTCATTTTCAGCTAAGCCAGCAGCAGGAGGCTGGGCAGTGTGCATCATCTCAGTGTTCATTGTCATTCAGGTGGACGAGGGAAATAAAGCTACATCTGCAGCGCTGAGCTAAATCACCRCTTTTAAAAGCATTCTAATATATGCATTACTTTCCCCTCCAGTGTCATTGTGTGTCCCCGGACTCAGCCATTCCTGTTGTCCCTTTGCATTATCCTGCTGCAGAATAGTCCACACAATCCACCCCCAGAATCCTCTGCTTTACCACAATGCTCATGATACAGGACAAAGACAGCAGGAAAATAGAGCTCTGAACACAGAATTCAATTACTCACGTCCTTCAGAGATGCTGGTTTCCAGGTGAATCAGGCCCGGCTCTTTGTCCAAACCCATTTTGGACCTGAAAGGCAGACAAATGTGCATCAGGAACATCTCTATTGGTCTTTTGCCTTCAGGCAGATGCCACCTGCTGGAGCCGTCTGGCCTGAGCAATAGTCTCGCTGTAAAGTCAGACTAATTCTCAACAACAGGGAGATCCATGCAGGCACCACTGTTGTTCACCACTGGTGTTCACCACTGTTGTTCACCACTGGTGTTGTGGTGAACCTCAGCAGGAAGGAGCCGCAGGACTCACTGGAACTTGTGGAGGACAGTTTAACTTGAATGTGTGATCTAAACGTTCAGAAGTCCTTGCAGGTCCTGTTCTGCTTCGACAGATTAGGAAAAATGTTTCCTCACATGGTTAGAAAAGGARAAGCATTGATTTTTCTCTCTTCAGTGAGGCTGCCTGCAGACGGAGGAGCATACAATCATTACAGCATTAAAAATGAATTAAAAGATGTTGAGGATCAGAGGAGAGAAGCAGGAGCAGCCAAGATATGGAGCTAAAAAAGGGAAGGTGGATCGAGGCGTGATGGGCGGGGCTTTACACACAGAAGACAAAGACAATCAAAGACCACCAAAAGTCCTAATCAGTGGTCTTTTTGATAAATTACAAAATGAGACCAAGCTTTGAAAGAGGTGGCCTACTTCTCCAAGCTAATTTCCATTTTCACTAAATAATCCATTAGGTGCAGAGGAGAGAAACAAGATGATTTGTTTAAATTAGTATATTTTAACCTTTGTGTGACCTGCAGTGTCATTACTCCACTTTCCTCAGCTCTTTAGCCTGGAAGGAAGACTAAGGTCAGAACATAAAAACAGACCTTCGTCATGAGATGGAGCGGTTGTTTGGTAAAAMTCTCCAACGCACACAGCTCCAGATGTTTCTGCAGAGATTCTTAATGTCATATGCAAATGCACGCACACGCTAAGCTCTCAAACTGATTAGAGCCGGCTCCCGTGGAGGTTTGCACAGTTTTTTTTTTGTTTCATTTTTTATTTCTCTGCTGCCCCGTGTCACACAGCTCCACTCAGGTTCACCGAATCACAAATGAGCTTACACATGTTCTGCAGCCACGCACGCCGCAGACACCAGACCCCCCCCACCCCACCCC